CTTGAGATAAAGGCATTTTTAATAATAGTGGTGATAAAACAACGCGTTGAAGAAAGGAAGTGGGTGGCGTAGGGAGAAATTCGTCGCTCGGTGGTATTCGTCGCTCGGTGGTTGATTACGTTAACTATAATAATTGCTTATGTCAGCTTCTTACCGCTTCCCTCAAAGGGGAGGCGCTAAGCCTAAAAGGAGTTGTTGCATTATATTATAATCGCTGCTAAAGGTGTCTACTACCTTGCCTACGGAGTGCTAGGCAGATAGCTATTTAGATAAGTTAGTGTGGAGTAACTAGATGCAGTAATGCTAAGGAAAGGCCGAGTCCTGCTGAGGCTCGACTGCTTGATAACCAGTCTACCTAGTACTAGTGAGTGAGTGTCCCCCGTAAGCAAACCTGAATTCGTACTTTTGAACCGAATAGGATGGGCCAGTCCAGGCCTCGGATCACATCATGAGGATCCACTGGAAATGCATCCTGTTTGTCTAAATCAGTATGATTTGACAGGTCACTATTTCTTTCTGTGACTGCTGCAGCCTGGGGGAGTTAGGAACAAGTCAACCGCCTGTTACAGACTTTGAGTCAGTAGTAGATAGGCTGTTGTCACTGAAGGTGAGGTGACTGGGTGACCTTGACAACAGTGATAATAATAATATGATAGTGATAATAATAAGGATGTCTCAGTCTCACTTCATTATTATCGACAGCTAAGAGGATGACTAGATAACTGTAACTAATCACTAAACTCCAATCCCGCGCTATTATCTACTGTTCCATGATCCATCTGAATCAATCAATCATCTCCATCCATTCCTACTATTCCCCTTCGCATTCCTGATCCTCCCCTCTTCTACTTGCACTGCCATCCCCCTCCTCCATTACCATCTTACCGTCCATCTTACCGTCCATACTTCTTCCTCAACTAGACAGATATCTTCCCCTCAAAGTCACTGGAACAATTCTATCTACCGAGTATCCTTATTAAATATTATCATCATCAACAACAACAACAACAACAACAACAACAACAACAACAACAACAACAACTGTGGTCCCTGATCCTCTACCACAGTACCTCGTCACACAACCCAAATCACCCAACTGACTGTTGCTCGAGTCTGTTCCTGGTCCCTGTCTCTGTCTCTGTCTTAATTGCCATCAGTTATCTACTCCTAAATTTCACTGTTATTTGTTGTTGTCGATTGTTCTTCTTGATGTTATATTATTATTATTAATCATAGATTACGCCACTCCATCCATCCACCATCCATCGATCGTCCATCCTTCATCGTCATCATTCCCCGTATTCCATCATTCCCAAGCCGTGGTTGAGTTCAGCTTCCCCCTTCTGCCTCTTTGTCACCTTCTCGGCCTGCATGTGAGTCGCTGAGAACCTGAGACTGAGAACCTACCTTGTCCTTTGATTTTTGACTCTTGATTCTTATCTCTGATAATTAAATTATTCATCTTCCTACCTATCCTTGTTTGTCCCTATCCCGGGCTTTCCTCTGGTTTCCCCCGTCTCGCTTTCCGATCCCCCTTGCTGCTCTGCTCTGCTCTGTGCTGCTCCTCTGACGGTCGCAAACGCCAATCGACATTCAAATTCAAGAACCATTATTATTATCCCTCTGATCCGCATCATCCGTCCACCCCATCTCCATCATTGACTTTACCTTATTCCCTCTATCTATCTATCTATCTAGATTGCGTTCGCCTGCACCGGTGCATGGCCTCAACGCACAGCAGACAACTAAATATACGCCGATTTTCCTCCTCTTCTATTTTGTCTCTTCCTTTGTCTATTCTCATTTAATATTCTTGCCGTTCTTCCCCCTTTCTTCCTTCCTGTTTCCCTCCTATCACCATCGTGGCTTCTGCTTTAGACGTGTCGCAAAGTCTCCACTGCTCAACCTAACCTATCAATATCCTGGCGTCCGACCATATTTCGCATGGCATGTTTCGGCTGCTTCCTTGGTCCTCTGCTCTCGGAGGAAATAAGGTGATGGCGGAGGAGCTCAAGATGCTTGCGATTTCGCCACACTGTGCTTCCCCAGGCCTCGGCAGTATCGGATTGCCCCAACTGAAGCGCAAACGCTCCGATTCCAGTGATACGGCCGCTGTCGAAGATGCTCCAGTTGCGACAAAGTTGCGATCCGATGACGCCTCGAGTATATCGCTTGCCGGCAAGCAGGCCCATTCGACCACTGTCAACGGCGAACCTGCGGTGTCGCGAAATCCGGCATCCCTCGGCGATAGTCCTTCGAACAGTTCCGTATCAAAATCATCCAAGTCATCCCGTCGTCGCCAGAGTTCGAGCTCGTCCGGTTCCGTCGTTGCCGATAAAACGGCCGCCTCGCGCAAGATTGACGTGGACACGCTAAGAGAGACATTAGAAGCACAGCTGAGCTTGGAGGTGTTGTTAAAGCACAATGAACTGCGCTTGATTGACCAGGAGATCGCAAAATGCCAGGTTGCGCTGGAACAACTGCGCCGGTGCGCCGAGATTCCGTATCCTGGATCTCACGTCGCTGGCGTGTCGCAGTCTCTGAGTAATGGCACAGGGATGGCAGTACTCGCTCCTGGAAATGGGGTGGCGCGGATCTCTCCAGCTCCGTGGGGTGTCACAGACGGTCCTTATACGCGACATTATGCGCGATGGCTCATTCCCGATCCGCGCTTTGATGGAGGCGAACTCGAGCCAGGGACTCCCCTGACTCCCGGCGCTGTCGGCACTCCGCTGGCCGAGGGTCGTTCGACTCGTGGCAATCCCGTCGATGGAGGCTATCTCGCCGGCAAGTCTCGTCCTCAAAGAGGCTCAGCCGGGGCCAAATTGCAGTCCCTACCTAGTGGATATCCCACGCCCAAAGAAAAGGCTGGTCCTATGATTATCCGGCGAAAGTCGGACGGTGTGCTTGTCAAGCTCATCTGCTTGGACTGTCGGAGGGATAATTTCTCGAGCACTCAGGGCTTCATCAACCACTGTCGCATCGCTCATAACCGGAATTTCGCCAGTCACGATGCCGCCGCAATGGCTTCAGGCGAGCCCGTCGAGGTAGACGAGGCAGGTGCCGTTGTCCCTGGAAAGAACGAAACGCCCAGCGCGGCTGCGGCTGGCTTCGTTCACCCGCTTATTCGATCTGCGCATGTAATTGAGCCATCTGCCAAGACGCCCTCATCGGTTCCGGAAGGTGCCGGTGACACTACGACGCCGCGAAGACGCTCTGTCGCCAGCCGACGGGCATCGTCTGCGGTGGAGACACCGAATATGCATTCCCAAGCAGGCAAGCGAACCACGTCCGTTGGGGGGAAAGCCTCCCATCACAACTCGTTCACGGGGTCTCCCGATACCCCACATCTTTCCTCTCTCATGCAACGCAGGGGTGTGGGACTTGACCTAGATCAATTAGTGGGCGAAGCGAAAACGACGATGGATCTCGAAGCTTATTCTTCGGGGGCCGAGTCGGAAGATGACCCAGCAGAAACATCTGTCGACGCTGCGACACAAGCTCAGAAGCCTCTTGGGAATCGTGCTGTGAGGCAGTCGATGCGAACGACGGGATCTCAAACCGCATCCCAGCGGCCGGGAAGCCGCAAGGGATTTGACAAGACAAATCACGACTCTCCATCTATGAATGGATACTTTCGGTCTTCCTATGGACCGGCGTCTTCCGTGTCTAGGTCAACTGCCATGGAGGACATGCGGGAAGAATTGAGTCCAACCACTTTGGAGTCAAATCAAGCCCCAAGCCTTGTGAGCGATGATGACGATTACGGAGCGGCCTCGGAATCTGACAGCCCGGAGCCCAGCTCATCCGAGGCCGGTGACCAAGATGAAGAATTCAGCCACATTGATGTAGAAGACGACGAAGATGCTGCGGCCTCGACGGCAACCACGGGGCCCAAGTCGGATCCGGGCATGGCCAGCGGTGCGGCTCATCCTTCGAAACCCTTGTCGAGATCGCTTCGACGAGGTAGCACGAAGAAGAAGGACCGACGCATGTCTGCTTCGATTGCCCCGGTGAAACGGAGCAAAGACGAGAAGCGGGTGAGCTTTGTCAGTCCGAACAGCAGTTCCGCTAAAGGCAAAAGAAATGCCTCGAAGAAATCCAGTGGACGCAAGCTCTAGACTTGTGTGTGGCGCACTTCCTCTCTCCTCTTCATGTTCTTTTTCCCCTTTCTAGAAGTAAGAAGGGGCGGATACCCTCGCGTGTTTGTAATTGTGTAACTCTCTCCTCTTTCTTTTCTCTTTCCACGGACCTGTTCTTTTTCTCTGTAATGAGTTGCGAGTGGTACGGATCGCCTGGGGCTCTCTTCGTGGTTGAAGTTGATCTTGAACCTCTCCGAGTGCACTACTGCGGTCCTGGCGATGCCTGATGCCGGATGGTTTCAACACAATCATTTCTTTAGCCACAATTCGCCTGTGTTTAATGTTTCTCTCAGCCTTCCTGGTGTGGTGATACGATTGCATTATGCTTTAGCAGATGAGACTTGAATCAATAGACGAAGACAGTTTGCTCTGGTCATCACTGCGTAGCCTCTGGGATGTTGAAAATTAATCTGATAATCTATGAAATCTGGAGCAACACAGCAATAGTCACATTTGAGGACGCTGTGATGTTTCGGAGGTTGCAACATATTTTTGTAAATCGCTCACCCGTACTCCGTAGTCTCCCACAACACATTGTCACCCGTCAACAACAGCAACAACATGGCGCCGACAGCACGTAAAAACGCCGAAAATGAAGCAGAAACAGAGCCCAAAGGGCAAACAGAGGAAATTCTCGAATTCTCTCCTTCATACATCACCCTCGACACGTTCAATGACCTCCTCGCCCGCTACCCTACCACCGTAGAGACGGTGGTACGACGCAAGGAGACCACAAAGGCCACCAAAGCAGCCGCAGCCCGAGAGAAGAAGACGAGAGCAAAGGGAAAGAAACCCCCGTCGGATTCTCCCAGCCTGCAGCCTACCTTGACAGACGCCGAGAAACAGCATATCGACAGCCAAGTCCGGGCGTACCTGGCTCTGGACGAGTTTCGGTACGGGACTCTACCAACGCGGGTGCGGGCGAGAGCCACCGCTACCGCTGCTGCAGCAGAAGAAAAAGGGTCGAAGACAAACGTCGCTGGATACCTCGAGAAAGACGAGCTGGTGCGGTTGACGGAGTGGAAGCTGTATGTCTCCCCAGTCACTTATTTCATTCTGTTCAGGGATATTGACAAGGGATAGGAAACACGGCGTCCACCGTCCAACACTATTAGGCCTGGTCCGCTCGAACCAGCCTGATCTCGTCCGCCGGACGACGTCCTCTGCGTTCGCTGCCGTTCCGGCGTCAGATCCGACGGCCGATCTGGCGTCCGCGGACGCAGAGCCAGAGTCAGAGTCAGAGTCGGACGGCGCGTTCCCCAAACAAAGCCTAGATGCGCTGATCGCTCCGCTCCGGGGTGTGGGCCCCGCGACGGCCTCGCTGATCCTGTCTGTTGCGACCGAGTCGGCGCCGTTCTACAGCGATGATGTCTTTCTTTGGCTTTGTTTGGGTGAGTTTCCCTCTGCTGCTGCCGCCGAGGATGGCGGGGAGAGGAGCGTCGGAGCGTCGAAGCATGTACGTCCGAACGGCGAGCTCAATGTCAAGTACAACCTGCAGGAGTACCGGCTGCTCTGGGAGGCCGTACGGCGGCTGCGGGCTAGACTGGATGCGGTTTCCTGTGCGGATGTTGAGAAAGTGGCGTTTGTGCTGAGGCATATTGATGTCTCGGGTTATCCTGTTCGGGATGCACCCGCTTCTGCTCAAGAAGTTGAGGGGACGAAACGGAAGCCTGATCAGAATGTTCAAGCGGGGGAGAAGAGAAGCTCAAAGAGAAGACGATGAGTCTTTATCTCGCCTTTTTGAGCATGGCAGTGCTGGAATGTACATCGTCACTCTTGCTTAACTCACATGCCTATCAGCCTGAACAAAGCAGAGGGAATTGTGCACGTTCTCTCCCTGAAGGAAATGGCATATTACAGATTAGTTCAACTGACCCCAAGTACAGTACATCCTCCTCACTCCAAATCCTCTCTACCAAACACCCATTATATTTCACACTCTGCCAGTCCCTTCGCTCCCTCCTTCTGCTTCCCATCACCCTCAACCCCGAGCTGGCGCTGCACCAGCCTACAAGGCAATAAACCCAGCCAAGACAACAGCCAACAGACTCCCACCCTCAACAGCCAACCCCGCCGCCACACCCTTGGACTGATTCGGCGAGAAGCCAGACGAAGTGGTCGTGGCAGCCGCCGTCTCCGCCGTCTTCGTCGCAGACGTCGTTGTAGCGGTGACCGTCGAAGAGCTCAGACTGGCGTAAGCACTGGCCGCATTGCAGTAGGACTGTTTGGTCTGCTGGGCGCCGTAGCTGTCGGGGTGCCCGGGGCAGTTGTTGTAGCATCTGTGCGTTATGATCGCGTCAGCCCTGTATTCTCGCTCGATACCTAGTCGACAAAAAAAGATACTCACGTCAGGACATTGTTGCTCTGCTCACAGAGGCATTTCCATTGGTTCGGGCCGCAGTTGTCGAGCTGGGGCTTCATGGAGGCAAGACAGGCGTCGAGAATGCTGTAGTCTCTTTAGTATATTAATGCTTTTGGCCTAGGATAGATGGAACGTACTTTTGGGCTTCACATGGCGCCGTGGACGAGGAAGAGCCAGCGGTTGGGACGGCGCCTGCTGCTGCTGCTGCTGTTGCTGCTGCGCTCGTCTGCTGCGCTTGAGTGAAGCCGGTGAAGGCGACGAGGAGAGTGATGGCGAAGGTGAAGTAACGCATCTTGAGCAATGCAAGTGTCCTTGATCAGAAATGAGACGTGAAGCAGACAGTTGCGAAGTCACGGTAAGGAAGATGGGAGAGCAAACGGATGAATCTGGGTAAGGAACTTATTAAAGGCCATGGTCAGGTCACACAGCTTTTTCTGAAATGCTAAATTGGGCAACAGACCCAGCAAGGACTATGGATGCACGCCGAAACAGTACAGTAAGTATCTAGAACCCCCGGCAGGAAGAGATCCATAGTAAGCCATGCTGCGTCCGCTCATCCTGTGATACATCGGCCCAATCCACCAATCTACTGATCAACTAAAGTATCTTTCGAGGTTGACCAGAGAAACAAGTACAGGACAAACCATGGAGCCGATTCAGGGTCCTCATCCAGCAAAGTTTATCAGACTCTATCTGGAACCTACACACCCTGATCAGGAGATAGCCACGGCATCAGGACATGAGACTGACCAATAACAGCCGCATAGCAGAGACACTATTGACAGACTATGCATAAGCAGGAGACATCAAAGCGTGCGTCACATCGGGATGGATTGGGGTTGTGCTCCACAGGATGCCACAGTAAGCAGTATCAGCTTTTGAATGGTGTGGCTGGACCAGGCCTTGACAACGGAGCATAAGCATAGTGTTTGCTCGACTTTCAGGCTGAGAAATGTATCCGCTTGTGGTCACTTGTGTCATGGGCGACGGGTCTGTTGCTGTGTGAAGAATCCGTCATGCAGGCAGGCCTCATAAACCGAAGAGTACTATTCTTCAACGTCCCCTTGTCCTGTGATCTGCTGTGGAAGCTTCAATGGTCTCATTTCCTCGAATGTCAATCAGCAGATTAATCAACACCTCAGAAAGTGACAGGTCATATCGACCAGTCCACAGACCCTGATGCAAAGCTGTTGCTACGCATTCGAGCATTCTCCTTTAACCCACTACCCCTGAGACAATGCAACAAGATCCATTAAATGATGAGGAATGTTCTCTGGCTTCACGGTATCCATAAGTCAAAATAATACACAAGTATATACAAGGTGCGCCGACAAGAGATAAAGAAAGATAACAGCGGGAAAAAAAATGATTCGTATGGAAAAAAAAGATCCGAAGCCCCTTGCAGACCCACGGTATAACGTTCTTCTCCAAGTAAGCACATTGTATGAGACAAAAAACCTTCGTCAGTCGGAGATGGGGAATATGAGGACGAAACGAGCGAGAGAAGGATAGCGATTGGAGGGAATCGAGATAGCACCGATGACTTGACAAAGAGCGATGGGAATAGTAGTGAGGAAAACACCCTGCAGCATCTGCATATGCAAGAATGGGAATCTTCCCGCCCAATTTTGGCCTTGCTTTGAATGAAGTCGCATACCCAAGGCGAGCGACATACTGCTAAAACAAGGGATGCATGGATAATCCTGTTTCTTGATGAAATGCCTGTACTGTTCGAAATCGAAAGCGACTACTCCTGTCCAAAACCTAATGTTTCCTCCACGGCAATAGACATCTTATGTTCGAGTGTTTCGTACGACTTGTACGGAGGAAGGTCAAGACGATTAAAGCTGATACCGTCAGCTCGCTGAACTCAGAAAAATTACAAAAGAATTGATAGGGGGAATTTCACGTACCATGTGTGAGACTTGGGTAATGCCGCCGGATCACCAGACTTTTCAATGGTGAAGCGTCTCGGGCCATCAGAGCCTTGAAGGTCCTTGAATCCGTTGACTGGGATACGAGATGTACCTGTAGTGAATTGGAGAAGACGCGACTTCTGCTCAGCATCCCAGGTTCGGACAACCTTCCAGAAGTTCTGGATGACTTCGTCTGACTCCTGGTAGCCACGGTAATCGGTGTGCTTCTTCCAGTCATCTACGTCGATATCGGCAATACCTCCGATCAACAGCTCCAATTCACGTTCGTCAAAAACATTGACTAGATCGGCGGGGATCAGCTCGTTGAAGCCGGACATGAAGGCGTTGAACTGCTCCTCAACGCGCTTGACAATCTTCCACTCGGTGACCAGCCTAGAGACCCCAGTTAGTATATCTTCATCCTGATCGTGCTGCACATTCAGAGGGCAACGAAAGATAGCAACTTACTCAACATATTCTGCCTTGTTCTCGTTTGTGACAGGGATATCCCGGCCACCGGGCTTCAGATCGATAGTGCGACGCTCACCAAACTTCTCGTCATCAACGGCGAAGGTGAGCTCCAGAACACCCTCAATATCATTATCCCTGCAGAATTGTTAGAAATCCTGGACCACCCTAGATGCCAGCGCGCAATAACTTACAAAGTCCATGTGAGATTACGGTGGAGATCTTCGTCAACACCCTCCATGTCTTGGAGAGAGACCTTCTTACGAAGCATCATCTTGTAGAACGCACCAATGAAGAAAGAATCGAGGAAACGGCGGTGGAAAATGGCAAGTCCGACGACTCGTCCAATGAACTTGAAATAGTTGAGGTGCTCGGGGTTCACGCCCGAATGGGGATTAATCTGCAGGGTGTAATTATCGTGTGCGGAGTATTCGAAAAGGCAATAAAAGGGATTAAACATTTCGTGGGAGAGAAGAAAGAAGAATTCACTAGGTTAATTGTTAGTAAAAGCAAATCACATCAGTCCCCCAAGAACGAGAGAGTACGTACCGAGAAAGACCACCGTAGTCGAGACCGTCTTCACCGTCAAACTTGATCATCAAGCGCTTCTTCAAGTCCGACGCACTCTGCCGCATGATTTCGGCGTACGAGTCCTCGAAGATATTGTTCCGGCGCACCTTGACGTGACACTGTCCGGACATGATCCGCAGAGCGGGCTGAGAGCGGAAGTAGATCAGCTTGCGCCGGAAGTCACGCTTGTACTGTGGCACACCCTGGTCCAGCGACGACGGCAGGCGGGGGTCGTCCCACGTAGTCGTCTTGGTGTTGTGATCGACAAAGTACACTCGCGCTGTGTTGGTCAAGCGCATCTCCCAACCACTGGGCAGGGGTCCCAACTGTGACACCGGCTGTTGTTGGATCGTAGTATTCGTGCCATTGGCATTCTGTCCATACATCCGGATGTATTGCTGCCGTCGCGGATCCACCCATGTCGTGGTACGGGTGTTGTGATCCACAAAGTATGGTCGCCCCTCGGGAGTCGTCCGCTGCTCCCATCCGGGAGGAAGCTCGCCGGTGCCTGCAGTGGTGGCTCCTGTTGCCATCATAGAAACAGCATTGGCACTACCCCCGGCCGGCGGGGTGTGGGCCTGCTGTGAACTCTCCGGCAGATTAGGGGAGTTGGCGCCAGTACGATCCTCCGGTAGCATTCGACTCTGGTGAGCTCTCCGTTCGAGCTGCATATTAGCTTCGCGCTGGGAGCGTTGCGTATGCTCATTGTAGTTCGATGATGGTCTCGTCCAAGTGGTGGTTCTTGTGTTGTGGTCCACATAATAGGTTCGTCCCAAGTTGTCTTCTCGCCTCTCCCAGCCGGCTGGCAGTCGACCCTGACTGTCTTCGAACGAGCTGAGATTGGTGCGAGATCCATGGCTATTGTTGGCGGCCGCCGCAGCTGCGCTGGGGGGAGCGGCGGTGCTTGATGGCCGGGTAGTGGAAGGAACACGCTGGGGATTAAGAGATGGATTCGACGCGGGCGGATCGACTGGAGCCGTACTACTGGTGGTGGCGGAATGTGAAGTCGGCGGGGCCACTTGCGGGACGAGGCCGCTGGACGTTGATGACTGAACATGTGATCGGTGCAGGCCATTGGCTTGATTGGTAGTCGGCGTGCTCAAGTTCGTAGAGAGGTTGATGATCAATTTGCCGTGTACCACCAGATTGTCATTGGACTTCTTTAGATCCCGAGTGAGCATTTCTGTTTCGGCGGAGTAAGAGACGCAAAGTCAGCCGATTTGATGTCGCAGATATGCCGAGCCGGAAGCAACTCACCATCACCACCCATCTGTAAATCAATCACATCTCCAATTCGCACATTGATCACGCCGAGGAACCCCTGGTCCTTCTTCTTGAATTTCTTCTGGTCGAATATCTGGATTGCGAGGATACTATCTTCGTTGACCCGCCTGGATGAAGATAATC